ATGTCGTGTACTAAGCATCAAGTGGGCTTTGTTTTTTTTCTGCTGTAAACTCCCGGCCTGACTGGCTGTGCGAGTATACACGTCCAAAGAATTTCATATCCTCTTTTCCCGTCACTTTTTCGCGTTTCCCGGGCCACAATTTTTGTGCGAGATACACCTTTCTGAACCTCGCCCCGTTTGGACCGGGTCAACAAAACATCTTGTGCAGGCTTTCGTGTGAATAACTGGACGAATTAATTAGACCAGTCTGTCACTGCTCTTCGTACCATTCCAAACCGAGCCGGCCTAGCACATGTCCTACCATCATATACTTAAATCAGTATGTTTGCATTTAATGGCGTGTCTGTACGCATGGCAACTGGGCGACTTTGCGCTTGGCCATTTCTGGCTCAGTCTCACATGGACACTGCGACACGCGGCTGCCTACCTCTTCCAGACTGCGCCCACCCTTTCGGGGCCTAAAGTGCAAGCCTCAACTACCCTGGCCCCTTGGCTCCGAGCTTCTCAGCTCAATTTGCGTCGTCAAGGCGAAAGCCATAAAACAGCCCTTAATGCGAACAAACGGACAACCTGATTAGCCCATCGGCAACTCTGCTTGCCAGTTTATCTTGCCATCTCTTGTCACTTCTCCGTCATCCAATCACTTGTCTCAAACTGGCTTGTAGGCTCAAAAGTCCTTCCACATTTCCTAAACCGAGAGCCAGCCCGAAATTAAATCACTTAACAATCTAGATCTCAGATATAAAGACCAAGATGGTGTGGCAATTTGTGTGGTCGCAGTCTCCTTTCGTTGTATAGAGGTTGTTTGACCTTGTTTTCGCAACTTGTTCATGTTGGTAGGAAGACTTGGATGAACACACCCAGTCCGGAGTCCATTGTATGCATCGTCCTTTCCAGAGTAGGACCGTGAAAGTGGTACATTTCCAGAAGTTTCGCCGTCATCATTAGTGAGGCTCGCCATTCTTAGCACCATACAACAATTCGTCAAAGAGACAAATGAATCCGATACTTTGACCAAACGTGTGCTAACCAGTTGGTTCGCTGGTTCATCTCACCGGTCATCCGGCCTCATGGTAAGGAGAATTTAGACAATTTCCTATTGTCACTGAACCAGTGTGAAAGGAACATTAAGTTCACGATGGAAATGGACGAGAATAAGTCCTTACCTTTTCTGGACGTTCTCATCATTAGAGAAGAGAGTAGGTTAGGAAGAGATGTTTATAGGAAGCCAACATGTTGGCTCTTTGCTTAATTTT